ACCCTCCACGTGTATCTATTTTCAGTCGTGCAAGGGCTTCATTGGATTTACTCGAAAAATTTAAATCGTACAGTAGAGCCAAAAATCGAGAAAATGAATTATCGACTAGAGAGGGATTAAAGGAGTTTATTTGAAACCCCAACCCTCTTTCGGGGATTTAGGGACAAGTTTATTGTCTCTGCATCATGTAATATTTGTGATAAGTTCGGCGAGAAATATGTGAGAAATTTGGACTAAAGCCAGGGATAAATTTTAAGACTAGACTAATGCAACATTTTTATTATTGTTTATTTGAGGCACAAGCTGTCAAAAAACGGTCAAAAATCGTTACATTACTCTCTCCCTGTTTCCCAGTTCGAAACTAATTTAGTGTATTTGGCGAGAAAATTAGGGCCGTCAGATCGACTTTGTTGAAACTTTTGTAATAAATTTCCAACTTGTACAAATTCTCGCATCCGATTAAAATTAGGATTTTCGCACTAGGTGCTTATAACTTTTTTATTATCCGCCATCCATCAACCACGACAATGACCTCTCTTTCGAAAAATGCGAGACTCCGTTATTGATTGATCGCGGTATCGGAGATGAATCACGAAAGAGGGGAAAAACCGAGAATTTCATTTATTAGCGAGATCGCCGATATTTCATCATTACGGGCCTTTAAGCCAAACTTTGCGATCGATACAGGACCCTAACTGTAACAAAATGATTGCCCACTTGGTCCGGAAGTGGTCAATTAAAACCACAAGACTTCATAATTGAAAAACTTTGCGAAAATAGTAGAATTCGCAGCCGATTTGCATAACAAACGCTTCGGATTTGATTCGTGTGACTTTTTAATCAATTCGAATTCGTACAACAATAGATCGCACCGAATTTAATTATACATTGCATGATGCCAGAGACGGATTTATTAAAATGCGGCAAACAACGACATCCAGGGGCGGTTGCGACGGTCATGGTGAAAAATGGGGAGGTAGTAAATGGTGAGTTGCCGATAGCGCAATTGATGTTTGAGTGACCCGGAGGGTGGATTTAATTGGAGCGGAAGAGACGGATGGGAAATGATCAACTGAGCAAATTTTTTAATTAGCTGGACGTGGTGCGTAAATCGATGTATGATCGATGTGTACCAAAAGTATTTGTGAATTTCAAAAATTAAAACGTTTACCTACAACTTCCACATTTTGTAATGTACTTTTTATTAAAACGTAGCTATTTAATACTCAAATGTTTAAAGATTTACAGAAAAAATGTGATCAATAGTTTCTTTCTTTAAATTTCAGAAGTTCTTTAAAGAATCATTAATAAACTCTCAATCCTAATTCTCGTAGGTTCATATTAAATGCAGCCTCCTCACACAGAGTTTCAAGTTAGAATTGGAAGTTTTTCCGATCTAAATCACAAGTGATTTCTAAAAAACCCTTAAATCTCATCTATTTATAATTACGCCATCTTTTTAAATACTTTTTAGAATACTATGACCACATGAAACGTTAGATACGTTAGTAAAACTCATACTTAGTTTTCAACGTTATTTTATTTAAATAATAAAGTAGGTAATAGTTATTTATTATATAAGACGATAAAGAGATTGTTTATCTACGAGTGAAAAGGTTAAGTTCACAAGTGGACTTATTAAATTTCAAAGAAAATTACAATTAATTAAAATTTTCTTGCACTAAATTTCGCCTGTTTCTATTTCTAATAATAGTAGATTATGTTATTAGGATTAAAAGTGATTTTATGTAGCGAAGCTGAGCTGAGCTGAGCCACATAAACTCACTTTTACTCCAAATAACATATACTATTTTCTCCGCAAACGATTAAGATGGAGAGAAAAGGGCAACACACCAATAATCAAGTAAATCACCTCAATAATCAGGACGCTTTGCAATAAAGTCATAACAAACGTCACGCGTCAGTTTCAGAATTTGTGTTGAGATTTTCGTAAGTATTGATTGATTTAACTGGTGAATGACTAGTGTAGTTTATAATGCAAAATGTCGAATGCTGATAATCTACCTTGTACCTCTCCAGAAAATGCTGAAGCAGCGAAAGAAACAGTATTGGTAAATGTCAAAGTAAGTGTCAAGTAAAAGTGAAAACGCCTAGGCGTAAAAACAGTGTTTTTACTCCATGTCTGAAAAATAAAACTTTTACCTGTGTCATTTAGTCATAAAAGTGTCATTTTTCTGACGTTTGCGGATAAAACCGTTTTCTTCTATTTGAAAACAATATAATAAAAAATAAGACAAGCAATTTGGAAATCAATTTTTTTAATGACTGTGCTTTATAAACAATTTATAGAACTATAAAGCATGTTGAAACAAGAAGATTATCCAACTTGTAAAAAAAACTACAAGGCGTACTAAAGTAGGTGTTTAAATAGCTCATTTCTGCACTCAAATTCCCTTATTATTGATGCAAGACCGAAAAGCAGGAATTCTGGTTTAAAACACGTTTGTTAAAACTCTCCTGGCCTATTCCCCGTTTTAATTCCCTTCCATAAGCCCTTGGGCTTACACCTTTGTAATAATTCAACTGCATGCCCATCAAACTCCCCGACCAATTTTTTTTGCCCGCTCGCTAACGATCCTTCCATCTGGCTCCCAAATCATGCCATAATTAGAACCCCGGCAAGACAATCGTTTTGTTTACATTTCCTGCGAGTGATTAATAGTCATCGAAGACGATCCCCGTAAAGTGCAGACTCGGTTCCTTGCAAGTGACGTGTTCTTTTGGTATTACGGCACGCGGTGGCCGGGCGTGGCGAAAATCAATATAGCACGCAGTCGGCGCTACACGCGGAAGGAAAACCTCCAACATTTCACATTCTTCGAATCGAAATTTTGCTGCATTTTGGACGCGTGCCAGTTGACTCCTTGTGTTGTACACTTTTAAGGATTCGTTTTTAATTTTCGCGGCGAGAAAAGCCAACTTTTTCATTGATTTATTTATTTTTAATTATCCTTTGTATACATTGTACCACAGGAAATAATATTAATATTCATGTAACTATTTAAAATTCAAATTCCTAGTCATATTTTTAGCACCGTGCTTAAGTACATCACGAAATGACAAAATTTCCCAACGACGCTCACAAGAATGGACACGACAAGATAAATAGGCCGTTAAATGTACATCTTTTGATCTCCCGCTTGATATAATCCTCTAATTGAGACGTTAAGTGCTACAAAAACAGTTATGTTTATTACCAGACAAGATGCGGCTCTAATGGACAAAAAATAAATGAGAAATTTTAATTTCGGCAGTTGCTGGTTTTCCTCAGAACAAAAATATGAAAAGTCGCTTAAATTCTTATCGATTCGTTCCCTTTTTCCGGTCGCAATTTGTCGAATCCGGCGCTGCACTTGGCGAAATGGCGAGACAATTGCCCATCGTTCTTCGATGATAGCTTTCCTGGCATTGCCAGATCTCCCATATTATTCACTTTATCGGCTCGAATTTTCCGGAGAAAACCCGATAATTACCAAAATTCCGGTATTCGAAGCCCCGAATCAAAAAATCGTTTACGATCAGATCCGAGGATAACCCGAAATTTCCATTTTCCCGAGGAAAACTTATATTTTATGATGCATTGCAGACGGTCGTCCTGAATGAAAAGTTTTCGTTTTAAAATGAGCCCAAACAAAGCGTTATTGGCTATCAAAAAATGTTTTTCACTCAATTAAACGCAGTCATATATCAACGAAAGTCGTCCAACGACTTAAACTTCGATTAAAATTCGGATTAAACCATAAACAAGCAATGTAATTAGACAAAACGATGCCATCAAAGTCACATAAATAACAAGGGGAACCTTGTTGTAGTTTTTATTATTATAGTCCACCGCAATTTGTTATAGAAATCACATTTGGCGGGCAAGCGCACAAACGAACTTATCAGCGAAAAGCTCTCGAGCTTTTTCCACAAATAATTCAATTGTCAACTCCCCGGCGTGTCGCGTTTTTGAAAAGAGCCACTTTTCAATCGGGTGCTGGAAGATATCGCGCGGCTTAATTACCAGAATTTTGCAGCAAAACAGACTCATCAAACCGAGAAAACTGACGAAAATACGAGAGTGAATTTTAATTTGATAATTTCTTCAAATCATTTAGAATTCTCTTGGTCAGTCAGAAGTTCATATTACTTAATTAAAATATTTTGACATTTTTGATATTAGCGATATCGAATAACTGGCGGTTTAAAACTTGTAAAATTTGCATTTGGCTTCCGGGAGTTCGTTCAATCAAGATACGAGAATTATCTAAGAAAGAAATAAAAACGATTGAAATATTATATCCCAAAGAAGATAAATGAAACAAAAAATTTCAAATAGCTCTGAATCAAATTTCATCGGAAATTGAATTGCTGCCGAATTGCAAAAACGACTCGTAAATCAATTCATTGCTACCTATTCTGTAGAAAGATTTCAATCTTGTTTATCCATTTTATAATGATACCAACACACAATTATATTTTTATTTATTATTAGCCATAAAAAACAAACTCCTGTTTTATTTAGTTTGATTTGGTGCAAAATAATGTTACAAACTACGAGTATATGTATATTTAGTTAGAAAAAAAGCCAATTTGTGTAGCTAGATAAATTTTAATGAACGAAATAAATCACTGCACATTTTCAAAACTTTTGTTTAAAGAATAAAATTTTAGCACGTTCCAATCTAAATCAGAGTTTAATTTCCAGCCGCAAGCTACCTTAACTTTATTATAATTGTCCATAAAAACACAAATTCCCTACAACTGAACATTATTATAAGTGCACCAATAAAAAAATTCAATTAAGCATAATATCCCAAAGTTAGCGGCAATGTCAACCATGGGAACCCATACCATAATTAAAATCGCAAAGACAATAAAACTTTTCCGCTGAGTAATGAATATTTAAAATGACACACAGTGAGAGCGGACGCTTTTAATTAGGGTACGACCAAATTAGAATAATTGATTGAAGCGTGCAGAAAAGTCGCACTTACCGCTCTTCTCAGCATTAGTAATGGTGACCCAAAAATCGATGGTTTTCTCCGGTCCCAACTCTTCGTAATCCCACTTCTTTTTCACTCGAACTGCTCCGTTAGGATCGACGGTGACCCAGGGATTTTCGTCCCGAATTTTGAACGTTTCCCGGTCTGTTTCCTTTTCGAGTTGAAAGACGTTTCGGCCTTCGGTGTCACCGTCAGATTCGGTAAATTCGATTCTTTTGGTTGGTCGCACTGCACGGGTTACTCTTCGTTTGCCTCTGTGTAATTCCCTATCGGCTAATTGTTGCAGATCGAGGTCAAGCTCAACTTTGGATGATTCTGGAGGTTTAAATTTAAAGAGGACTTGGGCGGGGCGAGGAGAGGTCCGACTAGGAGTCCTCAAATCGTGAGCTTCTACCACGAGTTCAAGGTCCACCTCCTCCGAGGGTTCCTCGCTGAGTAGGAGGTCGCCGGTTTGAGGGACGATAACGAGGTAATTGGTCGGGGTGGCAAGGCGATAGGCGACCTTGTCGCCATCTGCATCGGTGGCTTCCACCTTGCCGATGGAAGAGAAGCGCTTCCAAGTCGTGGTGACGTTGTCGCCCTCGAGGGAATCGTCTCCGACGACAAACCGGTAGACCTTTTGGGAGAAAACGGGACTGTTGTCGTTCTCGTCTTCGACTTCAATGACGACATTGATCACGGCCTTGTTCACCCCCAAAGGGTCGCTGGCCTGGATTGTCAGGACATATCGGCCGGTCTCCTCCCGATCCAACACCTAGAGAACCAAAAAATCCAAAACTGGACACTTGGAGACTTCTACTCACCTGTGCCGTAACAACGTCAACCCCCGCTTGGCTATCCCCTACTGTGACATTCTGCATAACATCCCCCGTGACACTACTCCTCAACTCAAACGCTTGCCCCACGTTCCCCCCAATAATAGTATACGTGATGGGGGTGGTGGTGAGTCCACTCGCGGCCTGGAGCACCGGTAAACCCCCGACTTTGGTCCCGGTCGGAGAGTTCTCCGCGACGCGCCCCAGCACTTCGTCACTGTCCGACTTAAAACTGAGCATATTACGTCTGTCCAACACGTACAACTGCAACATGTGTGTCTTGGTGGTGTTACCGGCGTCCTCGAGAACCAACAAGTCGATAGGCCGATTCACCAAGGGACTCACGTCCGAGACGGTCATGATAGAACCGTCCTCCAGCATGGTGAAGAACTGCGAAAAGCCGGAATCCAGAAGACGGTAGTTGAGCCCGGCGGCAAATTTCTTCACACTGTAGCCGGGGTGGGCATCGTGAGGAATCACAGATACGGACGCACTGGACGATATCCATAAGGGGAATAACGCCAAGAAGGCGAACATCGTTGAGGGGTGCATCTCACCGCCACATCGGAATTAAGGTCTACAAAAGACAACTATAAAATTCATATATTAATTCAGGTTGATTTAAAGTTGAATGTTTTTGTAAAAAATGTACTTTAATAAGATTTTAAGCCCAAAATTGAATTTTACTGAACCGAAATTCCAGATTCAATGTGCAATTTTATTAGTGCCAATAAAGATAAATATAAACATAACAAAAAGCTCCTATATAAAAAGACAAGCACTGTTATTATTTTTGAAAAAAATAATTACCTACTATAAAAATGTGACGTGTTATAAAAATAAAATTTTGCGAAATTTTCTTTTCTAAGTGTTCTTAAAAATTTTATTTTTTTAATGGTAACCCACAATAGAACTTTTTTTTTTACAAAAACTATAATCCAAGGATTACAACTATCTACATTTTATTCAACTTTAACTGAAAACATTTTTATATGTATAAAAATTAAAATTCGCATAACTCAAAAACAAAACAAAATTTCATTCTCAAAATACGATCATAGTTTTTATAGCACTTTAATTTTTATTAATTATTATTTTCTGGAAGCAAAAGATTTAAAAAAAAACAACGCTTGCGTCCATACTTTTTATTCATCCTATATATCTTATTTTCTGTTTTATATGCCTTTACTTACTATTAATTTCATCTAATTAAAAAAAAACAAAATCATAAAATAAGTCTTTTCCGGACTCAATAAAATAGTACTCCTATGTAAAATGGTTATTTTAGCTACTCAATACCCAAGGTACAGTTTTTCCGAACAAAAAAGTCAATTTGGTTACTATGATGGCAATTTTTTTTTTAATTGATAAGAGAATTCAAAACAGAAATTTGTAATTTTCGTTTTTATTTTTTCAAGCGAAAACTAAAAGACCTAGACGTTTTTAACTAAAACGTTCTTGATGCACTTTTTTACAAGGGATCTAAATTTGTCATCGCTTTTCCAAGGCGCCCTTGAAGCCAGAGTTACAACACTCAACTTTGCTTCTTCTTATAAGCGCCATATTGGATTTTTGCATTTTTGAAAAGTTTTTTTTCTCCTGATGTATTACACGATATGATTGAATCTTACATGCTGTTCAAAATATGTATGTAATTATAGATAAATATATGAATATCTAAAAACACGTTTTACGATACATATTTCGTCATTTAATAAATAATAAAATTCGTATTTTCCTCTTTTATTATCTTATTAACTGAACTGCATTTTTTAAGGTGAAATAGGTTAAAAACATTTAATTTATATGTAAAAGAATAAGAATCAATCAACAACTGAACCCTACTTACAAATTTTGAGCCAAGATGCTGCACTATTTCATACAGAAAAAACATTGTAAAAAGTGACAGAAAGTCGCGATAGCTGTGGCACGACATATACATTTTTCTGTTTTTGTTTTAAAAATTCTTGTTGTGATTATTATAAAAATTAACAAAAAAAATATTTTAAACTATAGATAAAAAGAAGCCTGGTTAATTCAGCGTCTTTGTGCTTAGTGAAAGCATCGAACAAAGCTTAATTCGGTTCTACATGCACGTAGCCGACGTGAATTGATTGATTAAAGTCATCACTTTCCACTTATCGGCAAATGAAGCGTTTGACGTCTTATCTCCTTAATATGTACACTCGTTAGCAATCTAAATGACACCTTAAACATTTTAATAAAAGTTGCTCCATTGAAAAGAAACTCATCTCAATGAAACACGTTAAGATATTTTTTAATTTCTTTTACTCATTGTTACACAATCATCTTTTGAAAACATAATAATATACAAGTTGATGATGTTGCTTTCATTTTCTATTGATCGACATGGACGTCGTTAAAAGATTTTTCAAAAGAGGAGGGAAAGCACAGCAATTTTAATATCATATTACACATACAGGTAAAAAACACATAAAAAAACACGAACATAAAACGAATTTTTAATATGAAAAAGTGAGAGACTTTGTTAAAAAAATAAATTGGAATCTAAAACTTAACACTTCAACAAAAAAAAAAACTACTGCTAACGAAATAAAACTTCCAGAGGGGGCAAATGCCCCATCCTGTAAAAGTCCCCCCCGCTCCCAAACGGCGCCCATGTTGATCGATTTATAACATCAAAAACTGATTATACCGTTAACGGAATTAAAACCATTTCTGATATGTCATGGTGTAGCTTTTTGAGATTTAACAAGACCGGTTACCACTAATGTAATAATCTAATAGTTAATTTAAAGAGCTTCTTATAAATTAGAACCACGGGTGGCAATGAGTAGCATCGATGTGTTCATAATTCATGTTCGAGAGATAATTCGAGAGATAATTCAATAAAATCGAAACGTAATCCAGACCACCAACAGCTAATCTTGATTACGATAAGTTTCTTCAAGTCGATGAATATCAGAATGTTGTCACAATACAATAAAACTCGTTTCAAATTGCTACAGCTATGCCCCGCTATGGGCATGTGTCATCACGTATTGGTACGACTGTCTGATTCCGGGGTTGGTTTTTCTGCTTACTACAGTAATTTTAGCAATGCTAAATTTAAGTTTTAACAGGTCCAATAACTCATTGCACAGCTTCCGGTGTTTTTTAAAGACGCGCTATATAAGTTACTTATTATCTTATAGCGTTATACCCCCGATATCGTTTTTCATCCCGGATTATACGTTGTGTTTTGAAATTGTTCATCTAGTGTGTAAGCAAAGACAAAGCGGTTACATCGCGTAAAGGTTAAGTTTGCAGGTACTCAGTCCGATGATTTTCATCAGTAATTACTTTGCTGTACTCTGGGAAATAACCGCGGCAATTATCGTTACGCAAACTCGGATAAAATGCGATTTGTAAACGCGGGAGTGTTACAAAAACACGACAAAGACTAACCCGACGAGATTTATTCTTGACCCGGAGGCGGAAAAGTAAACCACTGCACGAATCGAGCGCCAGTGGCGACTCGTCGACTAAATTACATTGGTTGGTCATTACTGAGATGTTCTTTTTAATTCAGTGGCCAAATCTTGAGATCGATGTAAAGGGTTTGAAACATTTATTCAAAGTGTAAATGTCCCGTGAATTTTTACGAACAAAAACGGACTCGAGCTCCCAAATATAATTTGTCAAAAAAAAGTATCTAAATTTAAATTACCTAAACATTGGTGTTTTTTTTTTCATATTTTTTTTAATTCTCTCATTAGACTTTTTTTATCAATTATCTATATTTATATGTATAAAAGAATTCCGTGACTGACTGACAGACAACGCACAGCCTAAACCACTGAAGTTAGAAATATGAAATTTGGCAGATATGTTCCTTAGAAGATGTAGAGGTCCGCTAAGAAAGGATTTTTTAAAAATCAATCTCTAAGGGGGTGTACAGGTTTTTTGGATGTACACATTTAAACGAAAATAAAAACATGAAATTTGAAAGATATGTTCTTAGGGGGTGAATTGGGTGTATAAACCTTTAAACCGTGATAAAAACGTACCTACACTTTGGGAAACATATTGCTTAGAGGGTGTACAGGTCCGCTAAAAAAGATTTTTTGAAAATTAATTTCTAAGGGGGGTGAAATGGGGTGTAAACATTTAAACGAAGGTAAAAATATAAAATTTAAAAAACATATTCCTTAGAGAGAGATCCACCAAGAAAAGATTTTTTGAAAATATATTTATAAGAGGGTGAAATGGGTTGCCAACAATTAAACGAAGATAGAAACATAACTTTTGAAGGATATGTTCTTTAGCGGTTGTAAAGGGGCACTAACACTAGATTTTTAAAAATCAGTTTCTAAGGAGGTGAAATAAGATGTACACGTTTAAACGAAGATAAAAGATGAAATTTGGAAAATAGATAGAGAGTAAAGTAAAGTGCACTACTCAGGCACTTCTCAAAAACCAACCTATAACGGGATGAAATAAGGTGTAGACATTTAAACGAAAATATATGAAATTTAGAATTTTGATTTTTGAGAGTGTAGAAGTGCACTTTTTGAAAATTCAACGAGGTGAAATGGGGTGTAAGCGATGGTAACGTAGGTACATACATTCCATTCGTCATTTTCTTGGCACTGAATTGGCTTTCTGCTTCTGCGTTGTTTTAAGTTAATGAATCAAGAAAAAAAAATAGATAAACAGACTAACTTCACATTTCTTTTTTGAAAAACAACAAAAGCATATATCTAAAATCTGTGTGGACGAAGTCACGGGACATGCTAGTTATTAAATAAAATCTGTTATACACAACCAAAACTAAAGTAACAAAAAATCGTAGAATCTTTTGGTTTTACTTAGTTTTTCAAATGGTAAACAGTTCTCTCAGAATTTATTCACATTTTTTGAAATTTTAAAATATTGATTAAAGTTCACTGTTACAAACAATGACCAGACTTTCAATCTTTTATCTTAAAATAAGTTGAAAGTGGTCATTTCAAAAATATGGAAAAATATTTGTGTACTTTGATGGCAACATCTCCCTTACTTGTTACTTGTTTTTTACTTTTGTTAAGATCGAAGACTGGTGGAGGAACCTGCAATTTGGCGCAATTGCGCCTCATGGTTTCTCGTTCAAATTAAACCATAGATCGTTCCGACGGCGCGATAAGAATCCCATTATCCTGCTGCAAGCCTGCGAATTGCGGATTTACCGCAAATTTATCAGCGGCGAAACCGGCGTCCAATGTGGCGTTTTCGTAGCGTCCGTCTGTACGCGAAATCGATCGTCTTGAAGGATTATTTGTGGCAGGTTGAAGCGACGCTTTAATAAAATATTTATCAAACGTCGATGACTTTCTATTACGAATTTCCCGAAAAACACCGAATTCCGGTAATCTTCCCGACTGTCAGGTGGATTACCGATAAACCTTGCCGCTTTAATTGAAAAACAAATTAGGAGCAAAGTTTAATCTCGCCTCCATCAATGTCGTGCCCGAAAAATTGATTCGATGATGGATCTCTTGAACGGAGCAAAAAACACGCCTCTTCGGAAGGACATTAATCAATTTATCGGTCGAAATGTTAGTTTTCGGATTGTTTTAGGTCGTGTTTGTTTAAACGATTCGAAAAGAGCCGCCTATACAATGTTGGTATTATTTATTCATTTGTTTTATTAAGCTGTCACTTGTCAGTGCTGCTTGAATTTTAAAATAAACAAATACTTCAATTGATGGGTGTTTATGTACTGGAAGCTTTATAGTGAATTGGGGTGTTGACATGGAACGAATTCGCGTTTGCTCAACCCGAAAAGGAGAAAAATTCCCTCGACCGTACCGGTTCAATATTTAGATAACCTTTCGCTTTGCTCAGAAATTATTATTTTAATCTAAATTGCATTTAAATACTGTGGTGATAATAAGATTAAAATAATATCAAAAGAAAAACAAATTTCGTCTTGTTTATTACGAAACCAATAACAAAGATTTTAGCAAAAATTAACAAAAATAGAACTAGCATGTGTATCAAAAAAGTATTAAAAATAGTTATTTATCAATCAAGAGAGAATAAACAACTACTTTACTCCCGAGGATGTAGGTAATGTCAGAGGCGAGTTTATTTTATTTATTTATTTATTTTTATTTATTTTAAGAGTAGAATCATTATTTCATTTACTAGTATTTTATGTCGGAGCAAATAAAGCGTCACTTTATTCCCTGTTAGGTGGCAAATAATTTTTCGGCGAAATAAATAAACAATAAACATTTTGTACATTATTTTGCATTCCATTATTTAAAAAGTTTTTATTCACATTCACTATAGTAATATGTTGATTCTTAATCTTTCAGAAGTCAGAACAACAACTATTACAACGTTATGATCCCACCAAATGTCAAAAACGCAATTTGTTTTAACAGCAACTCGTCAACGCATAAACTTTGTTAGGAAAAAAAGATAATTTTATGATTTAATTAAAATAATCAATAAAATAGCATTCAAAGCTCGATATATAGGAATTTCAAAACGCTCTCGAGCTCCATCTTTCCTCGAGGCTGCGCCTCTCGGTCAGATAATCTGTTTTCTCCAGATAATGAAATATTTCGCCCATTGCTTGTAATATGTATACCTATTGTTTACTTGAAATACTATAACAACTCTGTAGATTACGAGTGTGTGTGTGTAGTTGCGGAATTAAAATTTCAGGCAGTATTTTTCTTACTTTAAAGAGTTCACTGTAAACTACCCTTTACTGTCATCATGACTGACATTTGCCAATTAACCTTTTTTTTTGTTGTTAAAATTGTTAATTAAACAATTTGTCTGTCTTAAGAAATTTATTAATTGAACTAAGTGTAATTAAATCATCGCTTTGATCTGCTGCCTACCCGTTATTATGGCACAAATCACTACTTTTGAAAGTAAATAAGTCAAAATGACATCAAAATGACATAAATATGACAAGAGTAAAAAATGAGATTATTAATGTAAAGGTTGTTTTAGAGTCTACATTATGAAAATGACAATACTGCCCGAAATTTTAATTCCACAACTGTACCATTCACAACAATTTGGAACATTCCTATTGCATCTTATTTCTACCACCAAAGAGTAAATTCATTTAAATTTAATATTACATATTTTATAATTATATTTTCTCTATGATTGCAAACAGCATATTCTAGAACTCATCAAAATTCATATAAACGACATGAAAACAAACACATAACATAATTAAAAATATACCTATGTTTGTAATCAAAATTTATTAAAATATAAAAATATTTTGTTTGACTTAAGTACAACAATTTGTTAAAACTATTAAAAATAATTAAAATAAAACACATGCTTTTTTTAATAACATCACGCAATCTGATTTACAACTGTAAAACACTTAACCAACTCAAACTAAAAATGAATTCTAAATGTGAATTCTGAGACAACCTATTCTACCTATACATATACCTAAAGGGTGTGTCAAAACTCTCGCCCCAGAGGAAAATTTCAAGTAAGATAAGATACCAGAAACATGAAAAAAAATGTTTAAAAAATTCTGACATTTGACATTTTTTATGTCTCTTGAATGAAACTGATGATCTTGTATATGTTTTTTTTATAATTATTTATTAAAGGTACAAAAATGTTGCCAATAAAAGCTACAAATAACATTAAACAGAGTTACAATTTAGGGTACAAATTCCTTGTTTCCTCTTCTAATAGGCTGTAGCAAAATACTTGGAAAATTATTTTTCCAACAAAAATAAATAGAGTCAAAGTGCAAAATTAGAAACTTTTATAAATAACATTTTTTCCATATTCCTGGTCTCTTACCTTCCCATTTTTCTCTGGGGCGCGAGTTCTGGCGCACCCTGTACGCTAAATAAGCTCTACACACCAAACACAGGGATACAAAGAAAATACGTATTCGTCTACAATAAAAGAATAACAAAAAGTAAATGTTCAAGTAATAATTTTAAAAATAAAAACATGATACAGAGCTATTCAAATAACTTTCACACCCCCGCCTAATTGGTGAAAAAAAATCCCAAAAGTTTGTTTTCATGATTTTCTGAAATACCATTTGAAGTTATATAAAGTTAAAAGTCATCAAATATTCAAAGTATTTAATTAATTGTTATAAATGTGAAGTTTTGGGTTAATAAAACGTTAATCATGGATCAATTAAACGTAAAACAGATTTAAATGTTAAATGTTTTTTCAAAATTCTGAGAGCAAAGCTCGCTTTGAAACTCATAATAGTCATAATAAACAAACGTTGTTATAATCGTTTTAGTTCTCAAAAGACAAATGAAGAGTTTATCTCTTTAAAAACATATAATTTGGTTGAACCAAAGATAGATTCCCATCCCAGCGAGAAGAAACGACACGAGAAAAAGGGAATAATTGAATAGAATCCGGGATTTCAATTATTGGGTTAAAAAAGCAGCCAGAGCTTTTAAATCACAACTCATACTGTACGAAATAAATAAAATCAATATCCGCTCGCTTTTGGGCCATATTCACCCTCACAACAAATCCCGAAACGTGCTAAGCTCATTAATAAACAATTTCCACATTTACCTTCGCACCCCCGCCCCAATTAAACCCCATCAAACCTCAATCAAAAAAGAAAAAATCTTGGCACGTGAGGCCGATCGAAATATGCGCACCGTGCGTATTTTTCAAAAAGCCGTGTGTCAGAAATCAATACGTAGTAGCCGGCTCGGGGGTGCGAAAGCGAATGCTGTTGAGCCCCTTCGGGGCATGTGCACGCACCGTCGTCACGTTGAGCCCCCGAGCTAATCGATAGCCCCCTTTTGATCTTGCCTAGGGCCCTCAAGGGGCTCCACTCACTGTCATGTCACACAACACTCCAATTTCACTAACTAAAACACTAGACATGGGCCAGCTACTGCAGCATCTTACTCGAAACAAAACCCGTGTCGATACTGTCCCAGCCAACTGTGGTCGCGCAGATGGGACGCCACTTCGAGACGAGATGAGTCGAAGTCCTACGATGAAGGACGACCAAAGGGAAAATGGCCGTCGGCGATGCGTCGGGGGTGGGTTTGAGGCCAGGCTAAAGGTTCTAGAAAAAGATGAAAAATCGAATGATCTTGACGATGATAATAAAGAGTATTAGAGTAAGAGAAAATAGGAAAATAAAGTTATTCAAATTACAACGACACAATTTTCATAGATCTATAATTTTGAATCACCCTGTATATCAAAATTGACATCTACAATGTTGTAGATTAATCGTAACATAAATAAGAAATTTGGAAAACTTTAATTAGAAAGAGCTTTTTTCAAAACATAAGCAGCAATCTCTTAGAAATAAATAGAACAAAATAATAGTTTATAAATAAGCATTTTAGAACTCTTTAATAAAGAAATAGGTTTTGTCTTCCCCAAGCAAAAATTAAATTAAATTTATTTTTATAATTATCTTTATCTTACAGGTTGAGTTTTTGAGCTACCTTAAACCTTTGTTTTCGGTGATAGAAATCAAATATTATTCATAAGTGAGATAAAGTACTCACACTGAGAAAAATGAATAGTAACAGCTAAATGATAGATTAGTTTGACTAAGAAAAGTTTAATACTAATCCATGGATGTTCTCAAGCAATAACCAACATTGGAAAATAACATGTAGGGTTTTCCATTAAGTTATTGATTTATTATTATTGAACAAAATATTCTTTACGGTATTGTAATTTAGTATGTAAACTATAGATCGTAATAAATAAGTAATAATTTAATAGTTAATAAATCTATTTAAATTTTTGTTTAGTCAATAATGTATTTTCTTTACATGATAACCAATGGAAACGATTATTCAACAACAGTTTATTCTTTTTTAACCAGCATAAAGATCTTAACATATAACAAACGGAACTTCAAATGTAAATACGTAAATATTACTTGGAAAAATTGCGCGCATGCTCACCACAACATGCAGTTGCGTTGCACGTTGTGTGTGGTGAATGTGCTCCAACTTTGTTCAAACGAGTCTTTACATGAACGAATAGTTTAATGGTCATTTGTTTTTTCTGTTGTATTTGTGTTTGTGTTTTGAGGAGTGCAGGTGTCCGTTTGACGAAAAGTGCCAAAAGCTGCTGAAGCAGTGGCAAAAATTTGAAGGTTAGTATAATGATATTTACAATCGCCGGATCAGCCACCACCAGAAATTTTTAATACGGGCTATTAGAGGTGACGTCACAGACGCGACTGTACTGAAGCTAAACATACAGTGTTGCCAGTTGTGACACTAGAGTACCAAATTGATACTAGATTTTTTTTACTAGATATTTATATTTACTTGTAAACCAATAATAATTTATATTCTCAGCCAAATACACATTATGTGAATGTTAATATTTTTTATTTTGTTTTGTTTTGGTACGACCTATCCACTCCTGTCGTTTGCAACATTCTGGCAATGCTGTACACATATTTTTGACGTACACAGAAAGTGAGGTTAGAACAGATTAAATTACAGAAATGTTGACTACAATTGTTAAAACCATTACGAAACGACACACATTTTTCATAGCAACTATTTCCTTAGTAACAATCTCCCTACACGTCCAGGATTCAAGAAATAAACTTTTATTTGTTTAGCTTCAAAGGTACAGTCACGTACCTTGCTGACGTCACACTAATAGAGCGTATTGCGACACGCTCTGCGTATTAAGATAAAAATATTTTTAAGAGCAATAGCTTCGAGCAGTGGCTGATTTGGACTGTTGCAAACTACATTCTCCATAATGTTATTTCAACTGCAATAATTTCATTTTGTAAATAATGTAGTATGTTGGCGATAAAAACTTTTGTTAAATATTAAGCAATTATATTTAATGTTAAACTGATGGAATCTAACTATCTACTTTTTGTTTTTTTTTATTCAGATGAAGGAATGACATATGATATTTTGCTGGATCTTGTTCAGAGTTTCTTTCCTCAGCTGGTGCCAAAATTTGATGACCAATTCAAATTGATGCGGCATATTAAAGAGTACAAATCTGCATCTTTGGTAAGTTTTTCAATTTTAAAGTCTATTTTTTTAATTTATGAGTATTAATGCAGTGATTGACGTCCTGGCAACCCCGTCCCCGTGCAGTACTAAATAAATAATTTGTACTTAATGATGTTTTAAATGTTTATTATTTTGCTTAATAAATTGTTCTAAATAATATATGTACAGTTTTATTTTTTTGTTAGGTTTATATACCTGCTGGTGGCTGTACTGATTAGCAATCCGGTATATTTTTACCAAAAAAATATTTTTCCCTTTAAGATATACTTCTTAACTATCAAGAACACATTTTTTAATATCTAATGCGAGATTATTAATCTTTAATGATCCTTGTTTCTTGTTAATAAATATTTCTTACTATTAACAATGCAATGATAATATTAAAGTAGATGTTAAGTTTTTATAAAATCAGAATCACTTAAAAACTAAGAAATGCTATGTTTGGAAATTCCAAACAAATTATTTATTCTCTGATAACAATAGTTTCTTCCGCCGTATTCTAAAAAATTATTAGTTTACATTTAAGCTAAATCTTTAACTAGTAAAAAACTGTTCTCTCAGTGCACAAGTGACTAAATTTGACTATTATACAGGGTGCGCCAGAACTCGCGCCCTAGAGGAAAATGACATATAAGGTAAGATCCCAGGAACATGAAAAAAATGTTAAAAAAAAATTTATCTATAAAAATTTCGAAGTTATGAGGGTTTAAAGTTTGTACTTTGACTATATTTATTTCTGTTGGGAAAATAATTTTCCAAGTTTTTTTGCTATAGGCTATTGAAAGAGGAAACAAGGAAGCAGCTGTATCCTAAATTGTAACTCTATTCACTGTTATTTGTGGCTTTTATTGGCAAAATTTTTGTACCTCTACTAAATAATTGTACAAAAACATATACAAGTTCATCAGTATCATTAAAAACACATAAAAAAATGTCAAATGTTAAAAAATAAATGTCAAAATTTTTTGACAGATAGAATTTTTTAAACATTTTTTCCGTGGTCCTGGTATCTTACCTTACTTGAAAATTTTCTCTGAGGCGCAAGTTCTGGCGCACCCTGTATTATATTTACTATTTTATTTACTATTATATTTTTATATGTGAATATTTTACTTGAATCAAACTTTATTTTTTGTATAGTTGCACCTGTAAGATAAAACGTCGTATATACCACGTGATCGAAATGCCAAACTCGTGAGAAGTGTCCCACTCGTGCGCAAGCGCACTCCTCGGTCACAATTCTCACTCGCATATAATGATGCATTTCTATCACCCATAATATAATGTACTATTAATTTTTTAATTTATTGTATTCTCATTTTATATTTTTCTTTTTTTTTATTTTCTCTCATTGTTCTTTTATTTCCTCTAACTTCAGTATATATTATATGTATTACCTATAAGGTGGATGCTACTCTTCTCTAAACTAAACTGTATTTTATTCTATACTTCGCTTTGTTTTTTTTACGTTTTTAGTTTCATCATTTGCTTCTTCGCTTTTTTTGTTATAAGTATTTGTAGTTTTCTTATTTTATTATTTTTCTTCTTCTTTTTTTTCTATCAGATGTTCTGTTTTAATTTTTTTATGCCCACGTATTTGAATACCTACTAGGCATCCCTAAGTTAAATTTTATTCTTTACTCTTTTTTGTTTCAATTTCAATTTTATTTCGATAATTTTCCTTTCTCTTTTTGTTTTGTTTTTTCAGTATTCTTTTACTTAGTTTATTGTTATGTATAAGGTTTCTGATTTCTATTAATTCATTCCTTCCTTGTAGCTTAGCTTTTACATTACATGGTAGATGATTCGCTCCTGTAAGCTAAGAAACTTTATTCCGTTAACAGAATAAAAAATAAGAAAAGAACGCTTTTCTTATTTTTTAATGATCTTTTGTCGTTTTAACATTTAGTTATGTACAAATTTTTCTTCATTATATCGTTTGTTTTCTGTTTCATTGGTTTTTCATTTTAAGTTATCGATTTCATAATTCTCTTTTTGCTAATTACAATATTCTCTTTTATTTTTGTATTTTATCAAATTTTTTAATATTTTTTGTTATAATTTTTTTATAGGTACATATTTTTTTATCAATTTGTTTTAAAGATTGTCATCGATAGTTTAGTTTAGTAATTTTCAGTTTTATTCTTTGTTTGTTGTGAAATCTTTTCTCAATTTCATTCGTTTTTTATTATTTCATTACATTAATTTTTTTCTTCATTTTTTTTCTTGGTTTTTTACACATTTTACATTAAAAATTTTAATGAATTTAGTTGGAGCCAATTTACAAAAACGTTTTGTAATTACTTAATTTATTTTTGCTTTACTATAATTACAATACAATACAAATTTACAAATTCTTTAAAAAAATCAATAACAAAGATTAAAAGCAGGTATGTTCCTATATACCTATTTTTTATCTACATTTTATACTGGCCAACATGACTTCAAATAAAAAGCCCAATTCCCAGCATAATAATTCCTCTCACACCCAATAACAATAAAAAATAAGTATATAACCCCTGTACACATATCTCAACACGCACCGAGATTATTCCCTAAAACTCCCAACTAGAACAACAGCTCCGTTCATATAAACGCCCAATAAATTTTTATGACCCCATCTTCCGAAAAAAATCACCGTTTTTAAGCCCACGAGCGGCACACATTCAAACGATCCATAAACATCATCTTTTTGCAGAAAAACACAACAAAAGCCGTCTTTTAACCCTTTATTCGTTCAACAACTGTTCGAGTTTAAACTTCTGTTTCGGCGTCAGTTTAATAATTTCAACCGGGTCCGCGGGCACCAATACTGGATTTAAGAACACGCGGTGAATCCTCACGCCGCTCAAGGCTTTCGATTGTGAGATTTCTTGCCTTCGGATCTCGCGCAAGAACTGCAATCTTTGTTGAGTGCCGGCTTTTTGGTACCTTTGTCTGCAAATCACACGACTGGAGGCAATTAGCGCCCTAATAAACGATGCAAATGTGGATACTTACTAAGGTACCTCGAGGTTGGTGTAACTGGGGTCTTTCGAATCGTTGGGCGTTAAAATTTCACAATGGAGTTTTGGTGGAGGTTCCTCCTTTTTGAATCTCATCGCTTCAGACATTTTTGATGTGTTTGCGCGTTGCCAAGGCCAGGAAATAGAAGACTTTTATCGATTTTATAAAAATATAACTCAAAGTCAAAATGAGGGGTGACAGGTAGGAGTCGAGTCGCTTGGCAAGATTGTTTAATTCAACAAAAAATGTACAAGCTGTCTATAAGATTTTTAAATTTAAGTTTTTAAATAAAAAAAAAGTTTTTTATCCGGTTTTTCGGATGTTTTTTGTGTTGATTTCGACGAAACTTACTATGGGAATTAAAATGTTGTGAATTGAATTTAGGTATGTAAAATGTTCAAAGAAGTCGATTATGTAATATTAGCGAATCCCATTATCCGCTGCTTTAAAGAGCAAAGCCAAACAAATGAATATTTTAACTCTCAATTCAGTAAGTATTTAAGATTGATAAAGTGCTAAAAATATAAAAGTGTAGTTATAAAATATGTAATTATACTAAAAAAAAATGTTAAAAACGCATAAAAATTAAAACAAATTACTTAAGTTTTCATAACTACAAATAAACTTTTAAATAAAAATAAATTTTATTGCCTTTATCTCTAATCTATGTCCATCTCATAATATTTTAATAATTCAAAAATAAAGGCTTTTTAGTTTGTTTTTTTGTTACCAAAAATATGAAAATCTCAACAATCAGTTTTTACTATTTATTAGATGGTAAATTAAAAGAGATTTTTAACGGTGCTTGATTTGATTGGCTACAATCAAAAGTTCAGGAATTATCGTTGTACATTTTAGGTATTGTCAGATGACCGAAATTTAAAAAAAGACAAAAACAAACTAAAAAACCAGCATATAAATACAGGGTGTTTCACATAATTTTACGAGGCCTGCGCCTGTAAGGTTTTGGTTTCCAAAAATTAAATAATTAAATGTGTATTGTAAATTGTATTAAATAATGTAAATTGTATCCAGTGTTCTATGATTTTTGTATATTTGGGTGCGTACATTAGGCGCAAGCCTCGTAAAGTTAAGTGAAACACCCTGTACATAAAACGTTCATTGATAAAGTTAAAAATCGAAAAATTTTAAAAACAAAAAAATTAAAACTTATAGAACAGTATTTTCTGCTATATAAGTAAGGTTTGTGTCCTAAAATTGAAACATTCTTATGTCGAGATTAAAAATGTTTAATTTTCTGCAATGAATAGTTTTAGAAATGCTGAAAAAAATTCTTTAGAATTCGTATAACATCTAGTTAATTATTAAAATGATGCAGTTTCGAAAGCGCTTTCCGCTCAAGTGCACATAATCACAATCAAAGACTTTATTGTTAAATTTTCTCCGAGTCCTATCGAAACACCCCAATTCCTATTGTTGTAAATTCTTGTCAAAGTCAAAACAGTGACATTTGAAACGAAATTAGTTTCGTGATGTTTGCCAATACTTTCCAGAGCGGCTTCATATCAATTTTCTACAGTGTGGGCAGCAATCCGTTGCAATTATGGGACAAGCAAGTGAGTTTTGATGCAGTGTCGTTTATCTTCGCCCTCATTATCATATTAATGTCGCCGCGTTATTTCATACTCTCATCACGTATTAAATGCGATACGTTATGAGACTCACGATCCGGTTTTTGTGCACTTATCTCCGGAGAATCCACCTGTGGTAAAGGATTCCCTCGTCCTGTTTCAGGTGAAGAATGGGCACATCAGACGAGTAGTTGACGACGAGGTCAGGTCCCTGGTTTTGGAGATATCGGGTACGAATGTCGCCACAACCTATATCACGTGTCCCATCAAACCGAGGCTTTCCCTAGGGATTAAACTGCCTTTTCTTGTCATGATCATCAAAAATATGAAAAAGTATTTCACTTTCGAAATACAGATTCTTGGTAATTCAAGTTTGTTCTACTCTAAACGGAATAATATTATCACTTTGTATCCTTGGGTCTAGACGACAAGGACATGCATCGACGTTTCCGTGTCTCTAATTTCCAATCGACGACGAAAGTGCGTCCTTTCTGCACTACAATGCCTATAGGACTTAGCAGCGGCTGGAATCAAGTCCAGTTCAACTTGGCCGACTTCACAAAACGAGCTTATGGTAATAATTTTTTTTTAGTCAAAAATATTTTTTTATTGTTCCAGGGTCAACATATTTGGAAACAACTCGAGTCCAAATCCATGCAAACGTCCGAATTCGCCGAATTTACTTTTCCGATGTTTTATACAGTGACGATGAGTTACCAAATGAGTACAAACTATTTTTGCCAACACCCGGAACTCAAACTCCGGCACGTCCTAGTAAAGTGGTTGCAGACAAGCGCGAATCAAAAGATAAAAAAGAAGAAAAGAAGCCTTCAGCTGAAGAAATCAAGCCTCCGGTAGCTCAGGAAGTCCCTTCGGCCGCTCCTCCGAGTCCGGCAGGTCCGGAAACTCCGGTAGCTGAACCTGAAGAGGCACCAGCGGCGGAACCCGAATTAGCGGCTGAAACCGAAATTTCAGTAGTTGTAGCTGAACCTCCGAGTGAAGCTGAAGAAGTTGCTGAAACAACGACCGAAGCACCGACTGAAGAAACGACTGAAGCACCGACTGAAGAAACAACTGAAGCACCGACGGAAGCCGAACCGGCTGAAAATGCCGAAGTATCTGTAGCTCCGATTGAAGGTGCAAATGAAGAAGCTCCTCCTGAAACAGCTGCTCCTGAAGTTGAGGCACCTCCGGTTGCGGTTGAAGAAACTCCGGTTGAGGAGCAACCACCCGCTGAGGAAAAGCCTCCAGTTGAAGAACCTGCGGCCGAAGCACCACCCGCTGAGGAACAAGCACCGGTAGAAGAAGCGGCTGCAGAGGCTTCATAATGTGCTATTTTATGTTTTAATAAATGTTTTGAATTTGGCGCCTGGTTACGTAATGCTTGTTTAGGGACATTTTGCAATATGTCACATGAGCACACCTGACTGTCAGTGTCAAAGTACACAATGTACATTATAAATAAAAGTCGAAAAGACGTGTTTGGTTCATTTTAACGTTATTAAAAAATGTTTTTCCGCAACTTTATAACGTAACGACGCATTTACAATAATGTCAACGAATTTTAGCATTAATTTCCCTTGATAGTGGTTGGTACAGTCAAGACATGTCGACGATGGTGGAATCACCACCCCCGGAATTCATCAAAACCATTGAATGGGACATGATGGACAAGACGAAATTTTTCCCCTTATCAATGCTCAGTTCATTCACAGTCAGGTGTGCCCTTTACCCTCTAACCTTGATAAAAACCAGGCTACAAGTCCAAAAACATAATGACATATACACTGGTAAGCCCCCACGTGACACACTTTCGGCCCTAAACCCCAGTTTTTAAGGCATGTTTGACGCTTATGGGAAAATTTACAGATATGAAGGTTTCTCTGGGCTGTACCGTGGTTTTTGGGTGTCCTCAGTTCAAATAATCAGCGGTAAAAAAACCTCAAACCTTATCAATGTCATGAAATTGCGTAATTGCAGGCGTTTTTTACATATCGGTTTATGAAGGGGTTCGGCATTTACTAGCACAAAAGAATATCGACTCGAGGGTAAGAGCCCTGATTGCCGGAGGAAGCGCCTCAATAGTTGGTCAAACCATAATTGTTCCTTTCGACGTCCTTAGCCAACATTTGATGATGATGGGGGTGAAAAATGGTGACAAGGTACATCCCCCAGAGCCTCAAAACCGCCTTCAACCAGTTTTTTTTAGTTAGCATTCAATACATTAGGGATTGCCATGAAGCCAGGGCTGAGCAAAGTAGCCCTGACGCTTGAAATAGCCAAAGAGATTTTCCGCAGGGACGGAATTGTGGGTTTTTACAGGGGCTATATGGCGAGTCTAGCAGCCTACGTCCCAAATTCGGCGTTATGGTGGGGATTTTATCACTTCTATCAAGGTTGCTATATTCTGACGAAAAAAAAACGTGTATTTTGAAATAATTTTTATCATAGATGAGTTGCATGCAGTGATGCCATCGTGGGTCTCGCATTTGTTTATTCAGACAGTGGCAGGGACACTCGGAGGCTTCACCACGACGATTATCACGAACCCCTTGGATGTGATCAGGGCTCGGCTGCAAGTGCAGAGGATAGAATCAATGAAAAGTGCTTTTAGGGACTTGTGGGTTGAGGAGGGTGTCAGAATGTTCTCAAAAGGGCTAAGTGCGAGACTCATCCAATCTGCCACATTTAGTTTTAGCATAATTCTCGGTTATGAGACTATAAAACGAGTATCTGTTAACGATGAATATAAAAAATATGTCCGTTGGTGATATTGTTGTATGTAGTTTTATATATAAATTTGAGATTTTATCGATGTTGATTTTTATGGAGATTGTTTTAGTTGACCTCCACTTATTTATTTCTGTTGATTTTAGCTCTTAAGTTCAAGGTTCCTATACAGTCGAGATTAAAATGAAAAACACGAGTGTATAGGAGCTCTCTGAGTCAGGTGCAAATAAAACTCCAACCAGCATATAATTACGTTTTATTTAAAAGAAACCATAACTATACTAAAAACATCAGCAAGTCCTAACAATAAAAAAGGGATAAAATGCAACAGTTACAAGAATAACTCCTAGAAGCTCGTGCTGTTGGTAAGAGTGGTGCAGCAAAGATGTGGAATTATTTTTGTAAAAACAGCACTTCATCGAGCCAAAAATTTCAACTACTAGGCCATTTGAAGGTGTTTTTATCACAACAGCTAGAGGCACGAAATATGGGTTTGTGTGAACACTAATCAACACTAATTGGGTGACTAACTACACCACAGTGGATTTTGCATGGCACAAGATTTAAAGTCTTTCAGAGAATTTGTTCGTCTATATTTCTTAAAATATACTTCAGTGGATTGTCTATAGAATACTCTCAAAAAGTGCAACAAGACTATATTATAAATTTCTAAAAATATATATCCTCTTCAATTTTTAAAAGAATTTTTACAAATAAAATAAAAAAAATGTACAGCTCGACACTACATCTACACAAGCATAACAAAAAACTATCGAGCACCATAAATATAATACAAAGGTACAATAAAGTTATTGCACGGAAACTTATTACAATTTTTGTACTTAATCGACGCAACGTAATTGAAAATATCCTTAACGTAGTGTTAAAAAGCTAGCTGTTTTGTTAATGCGCTTCTTACCGCCCACCCCCTCGATCGTCTATTGTTTGTACCCTTGCATCAGCTCGTTGAAGTTCACCAGACCATTGAGATCGATGTTGCAATCATCCAACTGCTCCAGATAGTCCATTGCGGGTCCGCCAGTTGTGGTAGCGATCGAACCGGCATAACTGCACAAAAGACACAACCAGACATCACATTACTGCAACACAGACCAACCAATGAAATGACAGCGTGATAATACTGATTAATGTTGCGAATGTGTCTGGTTACGTCTGTTTTGCAGCATGCGATCAACGCGACGCAGTGTTCAGGCTGCGGTCCGCGTTGATGACATTCAACACTGAACATTTTGCGACCAATCAAATTAAGCAAAATTCGGTGATTCATATTGTTTAACACATCATATTTTTTAATTCAATTGGTCAATTTTCGGGAAAATGTGAGGTGAAATAAGACAAAAAATTAAAAACTTCTATAATTATTTTTCTATAAATGTAACAAATGCACAGATTAATACTAACATTTCCTCTTTATTTTTTGCACGTCTCTTTTTAAGGGATTGCAGCGTATTATCACATTGGTTTAATTTTTTTCAATTACCCTGTACTAACAGCCGAAACGTGTATAAAATCAATAAAAAATTCATTCTCTTGATAAATCCATATAAAAAGATAAATTATCAATTATATCAAATATGATGTAAAGTTATGTAGATATGAAAAAGTCAATCTAACCTAATTTTTGTTTTGAATCATATCACTAATACATAAAGCACACAGTTTCGATGAAACAATGTATAAAAAACATTAAAAAAAATAATAAAATCCTTTGAGGGTTTTTAAAGGTCAAGCATGTTCTGAAAACTGAGACACGAAAAGGGAAATTACGCATTTCGAATGGAATGAATGAGATTACCTGCTAGCCACTGACGGCGTGTCTCTTGAAGGGTCCGGAGATTGTAGATATGAATGTTGAGGGGTGTTGGGATAACTCGCAGCGCTTAAACCGGGCACGTGGGTCACAAGGACGGGTTTGACGTAACCATTGTTACTGGTCGGTTGATTATCTAAACATAAAAAAAAAATATTTTTACATTATGAAGAGGAAAATAATGAAGAAATATACCTTGGAAGGGCGTGTAATATTTTCCAAAAGGTATTTCTTTGGATATGTCGGGATACAAGTAGATGAGATGATTTAGATCGGCTATCCGATCTGCCAACGATCTTATCGCGAAATCCTTCGAGGTGAAGGGTTGCAAGCTGAAGACTTCGCCCGTATCTGCGAAAAATATTCATTCTGAAAACGGCAAAAAAAATCAAAAAATTTAAAAATTACCTGAAACCCAGGCAATGGTGATGCCCCCAAGCTCGCTATCTGAAAACCTCAACAGGAACGTCCCACACGGACACGATGCCAACATCTCCTCCGCCTGCTTCTTCTTCACAAACCCAATAATCGCCCCATCGACCCACGGCCCCCTCAAATGCTCCCTCGTCAACTTCATAATAGCATAAAACCACTCCCAAAACGTAAAATTCCTCTCGCTCAGCGGCTCCTTACAAAACTGAGCCCAGCTCAGCATCGGATTACTCCCTTCGTTGTAATTCCCCCTGAAGGCTTTATCGGCCAAAAATCTTAAATTATCCTCGTTGAGCGGTCGCCCCGTCGCAGCTCTGAACTTCAATGAGAGGGTCTCCGCCACGTTGGTCCACAAAACCTTATCAGGGACCGAGAAGGGCACTCGGCCGGCGTCGCTAAAGGCGTTATCCCAGGTAACCGTGGCCCACGCATGGGGCTCCTGGTTCCCGTGGACAATCACCACAACGGGAAGACTTAACGTCCACACCTGGAACATCAGCTCGCCGCCCCCCACACTGAACTGCGACTGGAACAAGAGGGAGAATTTCTCGTCCATGACACTCTCCGTGCCTTTTTTCTCCGCTCGCTTAATTTTTTTCAATTGCATATTTCGGAAACTGACCGACAATTGCCGAGTGGCTTGTTGGTACTCCATTGTTCCCGTATTGTTCAAAATCTCGCCACTGCATTCTCCACTCTTGGCCAGCTTGTCATTTTTCAATAAAACATTCGCTTGAGATTCCGATATTATCGTAACCTTAACTTGGGGAGGAGTCATGTGCACGTTCAACTTCCCTCCAACTAGCAATCTAACGGTCGCTGTGAATCTTGTGTTAGTTTTCATCACTTGTGGGGGCTGTTTCTCTATAATGAATGTCGAAGTGACCAAAGAAGACAACAGTTGGGTGACGTCGGCGAGAACTTGTGGCAACAAATCGGCGACTCCTGGCGGATCGAGAGACAGTTTTTGCCTCAATCGATCGACTTCTTTGATTTGTTGCCGGTTGAGCCAAATCAACTCCGCGAGACTCTCGCACCAGTCTTGGATCGAGTCGAGGTTACTATTGAAGTTGGCGCCGTTTCCGGCAAGTTGTTGTTCACGTTTCCATCGGATTAGTTCGTCGTCGAGGATGTTGGATTGAAGCTGGTTGAGAAGTTGGATGGTCTCTTTGAATTTGTCGACGATGGCGAGACGGAGTTGCATGAGACCTGCCACCTTTTGGTTGAGAACTTGTTCGAGCATCTCTTTTTGACGGGTAAGTTTTTGAACGGTGGCTGTCGTTTGAGCGTTGGTGGGCTGCTGACTGGAAAGCTGTTGGATGTGTGCTGGAATCGTTTTCAATTAATTCGTTTTATTTTATTACAATACAGCCTTCTCCATATATTTTTTTAAATTCCTGATGTTAATGACCGAACAAGTGCGTGCCTCAAAAAACATAACGGCTTTTTCCCATTTCTACTACTAAAATTATCCAATAAATGAGCCAATTTACAGTTCAAAAACATGTTTACTTTGATTTATTTACTCACATTGAAGGCAATCTAGTTATCGTAACTTAACATTTAACAACATGAGAAAAATAAACAACAGACTATTTCAAATGTTCCGATTTTGTACAAATTGCATTGATAGCTTATCTAAGCTAATCCCAGACTTACCGTTAATCTTTGTACACTCATGATATTGCAAAGCAAACGATTCCTGCTCCTGTTCCATCCTCCTCAAATCGTCGGCCGTGTCCTAAAACCGGCAAAATGACCCCATTTCACCACCTTCACCCCACTTACCTGAGTCCGTCTCCTTAAAATATCAATCTTGTGCAAAACCTCCGTCCCTGAATTAGAAATCACCAAATTGGCGAGCCCCGTCAGAGCTTCGCCGTTGGCGGCCTGCACCAACCTCATTTCAGTCGCGAGACACTGCCTCACATATGAAAACAGCTGCATTGGGTTAGAACTGAAAGCAAAAATGAGCAAACTAACTTTTAAGAGTGCCCCCTACCTGTATCTCTGTCTAAACATTTTCGCAGCCTCCGCTAATTTGAGTTTCGTGAGGAAATACTCGGCATCGTTGACCACTGCCGCCTTGTTCTCCACCTCCTGGATAAGGGAGTTGACGAGCCCCGCCACGTATTGCTCATGCTGGGGGTTTTCGGGGACGGGGTCTATCTCCGACCAGAACTTCTCCTCGATGTAGTGGGCCAAGTAGTGGCGCACCTCGATTGGAAAGTGGTCCCCGTAGATGGACCGGATTTGCTGGAGGCTCTCGGGGGGTAACTGCTGAGCCTTGGCCCAAAGCGACATGATCGATCTGTACAATCACCCAAAACAAATATTTAGATAGGCGAGATGGGTTTAGCAACAGTCAAGGTCATCAAAAAGCGGGATGGCTGCACTGAAAGCTTGTTTACATGATTAGGGAGCATGTGAGGAGTAACAAAGCACTGACCTGTTTTTGTTCAATCAGGGGGCTCGTCTCGACACAAGTTTGCACATTTATTTGAGAAATTTGGGGCACCTTCGCGGTTATCAGCGTGCAACAATCATCAAGTCGTCTAAATTGCGGCCATGTTGGCAGAAATGACATTTAACGATGGCGAGATAAGAACCAATGAAATTTAAACACTGGAGGCGCGGGGTTTGTAAAACTAACCACAGTTTTTTCATTTTTTATTTCAGTGTAACAAAATAAATAATTGTATAAATTCAATTAAATAATCAACATTCCGATAAAAAACAATTGTAATATAATAATATATAAAAATTACTACAAAAACTTTCTATTATATTTCGCTGTTAATTGACGTAATGTGTTTCTGATGTTATCATAACTTGAATAACTTATCCCAACAGCAATGGGGCCTTTAATCCAATTCATGGACAAACCTTTGTAAAAACCACCGATTATTCCTTCCCTAAAATAATAAATATGACGTGGTGATTAGCCAAAAAATTACGGCTACATACTTATAAATAATTTTAAGAGTTGATCTTATTGAATTGTATTTTCCTTGAGTATCAGTCTGCATTCGTCTTCTTACAATATCTAACGGATAACTACTACACTGACCCAACATTCCTGCGATAGCCCCAAAACCGAGACTAATAACAGGATTTAAATGAGCATCACAATCTAAATTTGTATATTCTAGAAAAGACAAAGTTACAAAAAATTGGCTACAGTCGCTTCTTTTACCTCTATAGAGCATTTTCAAGGTATCGTAAGTAAAAAATGAAACCCCTGCATAAGGCACAACCCCCGCAATGGTAGGTATATACCCCTTATAAAACGCTATAATTCCCTCTTCAGAAAATATCTTATAAAAAACTTGTCTTAGGGTCGCATACTCTTGCTTATTCGTGACAGCCATTCGAGCTCTCGCTACGTCTAATGGATACGTCAGGGACTGCGAAGTGGCCCCCGCAAGACTCCCCGCCAGAAATAATTTCCTGGGGGACTTGTTTGTATTGTCTACATCGAGTATTTTCTTCCATTGTTCGTGTGCTGTAAACTGGATGGCCGCATAAGGCACAATACGGACCATCGTGGCACTGTTACCCCGCCATAGGGCTAGAAACCCGTGCTCGCGGTAGGTCTGACGCAGAAACTTGAAGGCTTTTCGAGTCGAATACGGTTTGTTACTGCAAAAAGCAAGTTAAATGAGTTTGGACTGTGGGGGCTTACCTGATCTGAAAGTTGATTTTTGTGCGATCTAAGGGGGCTATCGTGGTTTTGGCGAGGGCCCCGGCGATGGCGCCGGCACACAGACTAGTAAGGACAATCTGAGTGTTGCTCAGCTGTCTCGAAATAGGGTCATGGCTTTTACGAGCCATTTTTTGGAAGACTAATCAAGGCATTATTGGGTCAGCTGGAATCGGAATGAAAAATTAGAGGATTGTTGGAGGAAAGGAAGCAAAGTTCAAAGTGTGTTACCTTTTTTTAATTGGATGAGGATTTAACAACATCTAAGCGTGGAGTGATAAGACTATCGCAAATGACGAGGATGTTTTGTTATATAACTTTATTTGTTAATAAATTTCGTTAGAAATAAATCGATAAAAAAGAATAATTGGGGGGTTTACAACCCTGATTTAGGGTTGCCACTAATGCAGAGACTCCAAAAAAAAAATATCTGTCTCAATTGAGTGATAAAATTATCATATCAGAGATAAAAATAAATAATTCATTAATGACGAGCCAATCTGTGCCAAATTTCATGACGCTAACTGTACTTTCACCTGTTTCACCTTGATAATAACAATACACTTGACGTGTAAATATTTACAAGAAAAAAGCCCCTAAAAATGGTAAAAACCCGTCTGAAGTCGTCCCCACATCTAATCAAACTTGTTTCAGGCCCGCTACTTCAAGGAGCAAGACATTGACGGTAAAACCCCCCTGTGGTAGCCCCCAAAATCTAATGATAATAAATCTTTCAGAATTTCGCGAGTGTTTCTACTTATTCGCCCGCTCGGGGCACATCAAGTCCCTAGACGAACTCACAGTGATAATGAGGAGTCTGGGGCTCTCGCCCACCATCTCCGAGCTTGCAGGTTATTTCAAGCAAAAGAATGGCAAAATGAGCTTTGCTGACTTCTTGGAGGTTATGCATATTCATTCACGAGTGGAGAATGTGCCCAAGGAGGTGGTGGATGCTTTCAAGGCTGGGGACCCGGACGGGAAAGGGGTGATTCCGGCCAAGCAGCTGCGTCACATGTTACAAAACTGGGGCGAATGTCTTTCAGCCAAGGAAATTGATCGGATTTTCAGAGAGGCAAATGTTAATAATAATAGTTTGGTGCGGTATGAGGATTTTGTTAAAATTGCCTGTGCACCAGTGCCAGATTATTATTAAAGGGGGCTTACCCTAACTTTTTTCCATGAAATTATGTAAAACACATGTCACAACATTTTCGTTTTCAGTTTTTCGCACTTCGGGGTTGGCAATGATTTTTCGGTTTAGTAAAATAGAGAGCCAATAATTAACCCCTGCACAATTATTATTATTTATTATGTTCAATGAGTTAATAACACATGCAGACATCAATAAATTATTATTTACGCACAACTCTGGTATTATTTCAAAAACTTTTTTTAAGTCAAATTACAGCAACCAATTTTTACCCTTGAAAAATTAACATTCGTCTTTCGAAATTTTTATTACGTTGATGAAAATTTTGACAATTGACAACACAACCAAACCTCTCAAACTACTTCTAACCTCACTTTTGCCGGTCAAGCGTTGTTAGAGCGTTTTTAGTTTATTTCCGATTTTTGCATACAAAAACAATAACCATGTCGACAGCAATGCCCATAAACCCCAAACCTTTTCTTAACGGTCTTACTGGCAAGGCTGTGATGGTAAAATTGAAGTGGGGACATGAGTATAAAGGTTACCTTGTCTCAGTTGATGGTTACATGAATTTACAATTAGCAAATACCGAGGAATTTATTGATGGTAATATGACTGGTATGTAATTATATTTTTTGTATGTGTTCGTATTTCTAATATTTTTTTCAGGTAACTTAGGTGAAGTTTTAATTAGATGTAACAATGTCTTATTCATAAGAGGGGCTGAAGAAGAAGATGAGGAAGGAGAAACGAAGGATTAGTTTATGTAAATTTAAGTTTTTTATGTACGAAATTGAATACTTATGGTTATGGACATAAGTATTTTAGATGTAATTTTTTACCCAATAAATCCTGTAAAGTATTTATCATCTTTTTTTTCAAATCTTTAAGACAAAACGAAGTAACTAATCAGTGAAGCAAAAGGATATGACACTTTACTTAATTGGTAGACTAAAGTCTATAATACAATGTCTGCACTAAATGAAACCGTTTTATAAATTTTCACAGCATTTTTATGCATTTTAATTTTTTTTCTGTCTGTTAATTAAATGTATAAAGCCGTGAAACCAAGAATTTAAATAGACTTGCTTACCGCTAGAGGAGACTATGTAAAGTAGTGTCTAGAGTTCTGTAAAATCTACATTGACTAATACAGTAGGAAAATCTACAAAATCATAATTTATAGTTGACGACAAAATGAACAGATAGCAGCATAATAGTAATTATTTGAAATACATTTTTTGCATACGGATTGTTGATGTTTCCCGACGAGGCAAATCCGACTTTGGAATAGCAGATGAGTCCGCAAAAATGTTTTAGGTACCAGGTATGTACGTGGTATAAACAACAATTTTTGTTCAGCTCCCAAAAACACATTCCCACCTCTTATTATTTATGTTATCAGAGCAAAAATTTTTTAAAATAGTGAGCTTCGAATTTTAATCACTGTACCACCATAGGGCAGATTGGTTTTTTTTGTCCGTAAAAACTGTATTCTAGGTACTAGTATTCAAAATAATTATTTTGCGAACCTACTATGTTTTATTAAGTTTGAAAAAAACTTATTTTGAGGACTCAAATGAGTCCATCAAACAGTAGTGTACGCGTTGAACACGTACTTTTTTAGTGTACAGGGTGCTGCATTTTGGATGTCCGAATAGGGAATCTCCGAAACTAAAAGGTTTAGCCAAAAACGAGTATAACATCCTGGGGCTCATTTTTTGAGAAAATAATATTGGTTAAAACCGCATCGCGCTATTGTCTTTCGTTTTAGACTTACAAACAAAAGTTGACATTTTGGCGAAATGTAAAAAAATTCATATCTTCGTTATTGTAGAAGATACGGATTTGAAATAAAGACATTATACTTTTTTACGAGGAATTTAATAATGTAGTTAACATTTTTTTTCAGTTGTTTGTTTAGCCGTAATAAAATAAACTTGTATTTTTTTAAATGGGAATCATAGATGGCTATGTCATTTTTAAAAAGCTTGTTTTTTTCTTATCTAAAAAATAAATATTTGTAACAAATTATGATAATACATTTTTAGCTAAAAATTATCTTTGATTTTTGTTCGCAGTTGGCCATGAAAAAATGTTGCATCTTCAACTAAAAGGATTTAAACTATATTATATTCAACCAGTGTCACTAATGAAAATGTTTTCTAAGTACTAAGTAATGCAAAATAAATTGTAAATCAACTTATTGGCGACTAATAACATTTCTTTGTTTTTTAAACAAGCTAACATTGCCATTGCAACTTCTAGTGATACATAGAGTGTTGTAAAAAAGCCGCTTTAATTCTTCAATAAAATATATTTTATATGACACAAAAATGACGATATTCAAATAACCAAATTCCGTCTACCGTATGGTATTTTTAAAATTTTTATAATTGTATCTATTTTTTCATCTATTTTACAGTTCACAAAACTGTAATTAATTATTATTTACACATTTGGAGTGAAATAGTTTTTCCATGGCCAACTATTCCCCCACCTCAGTTCCTTAATCTCAAATGACCCCAACTCACTTAAAATATTCTTTGAATCTTCTTTCTAAAGTTGAATGGGATTAATTATTCATAAGATATCCGCAAAATGTACTGTTTCCAAATAATAATAATTTCTAATAAAAACTTTTAAAACAAATACAAGAAACTTACATTAGTGACAAACTTATTTTAGTTTCTTTATTGGGTGATAAAGGAGAAGAGATGTACCTAAAAAATAGCAATAGTTCTTTGTTCAAACTGACTGCTGAAAGTTTTTTTTTGTGGATATTTTATGAATGCATAAAAATCATTTCATTTTGGAAAAGAGCTTTTAAAAAGCATTTTAAAAGTGTTTTCATTTTATGTATCACTAGTGTGTTGGTGCTATTTGACATTTCAGAATTAAATGGCGTAGAGATTAAAGGGTTAGTGAGGGTGCTTTTAAAATTGCGTCAAAAAATGTCCCTCTTAAAAACAAAATTAGGGTGTTTGGGTGGTTTGTTTTTATTAGAACACCCTGCATCTCGTGAATGGATAGTTTGATTTAATTTTGGTAAAGAATTTTGAAAAAATTGTTTAAATAGCTTTTATTTGATGTGCCAGAAGCCAGAAGTGAGGTAGTGCGATTTAAATTTTTAAAGTGGAGATGCGTGGAGGTTACTGGGGGTACTGCAAAAAAAATGTCCCCCCCGAAAACAAAATTGACCTGTTTCGGCGTTTTTGCAGTGTTTTTAGTTTCTGAGATTTTCGGGGTTGCTTGTTTGTGTTGAACCAACCTGTATAATAATTTGACTTATGCAACAAACTCGTTGCACCTCAAAAAATTGTGGATTTCAGTTGATTATGGTATCTGCAACATAAATATATTTTTTTCCGGATGAGCTAAAACTTTGTAACTAAAATATGAAGATATTTAGGTATAATACATTGAGTTAAGACAGTATTCGTTGCATAGATTGAATTAATAATGATCGTTAATTTTCATTTTTAATGTAAAAATCAACACCGACTTTTTTTTGTAAATGGCAGTGAGTTTGGCTATGACTACAATAACCCTTTAGAAAAAACAAATACAAAAATATGTTATGTCTAAATATTCTAAAAAATTATTCGTTGTATGTAAATTTGTATTTTTGCGTGTGTATTAAATATTCCTATTTGCGATACCAAATAAACACTAGTTGCACAAAAATGCACCGTCAGACACTTGATTCGACTTATTTCCTGGCGTTCCGTAAGTTTATTGCACTGTCAGGGAAAAACGCCACCACAACCACCGCCACCAGCAGCAGCAGACAGTTCATTTACCGAACTCGGTCCATCCATTTTATTGACTCCATTTATGCAAACAGTGCCGGATTATTTGCTCACAATTAAAATTTTAAGCATATTAACCCTTCAGCCCCGCATTTGTTAATTTATTATTTGAACAAGAATCCGCCCTAATTACGTATAACACAATGCAGAGAAAAACTACCTGTTCAAATGCGTTTAATTAAGGGCCGATTTACCCCAGTTCCTCATTTGGCCGAATTGTCGGCGGAGTGCGCGAGGGACGCCCCATTCAAACATAGAACAATGGCGTTATTACGATGACTAAATGACAAAATGCGTGTTGACTTATTAGCTGATCTGGCGGGGATTTACTCGACGATTTATGGGAGCCTCCGAGGGGACAGATGACATTTTGACGACACTTACAGGACCGGATTATTATGTACACGACCGAGTTATTAACCTGTTGACTCGATCCGGAGATTATCCGAGGAAAAAATCGATTTCATTCAACATTTCGAAATTGTATCAATGAATGGCATGCCCTCTTGCACTCCCGATTACGTTTTGCCAAATCGGCGGATTTTTACCGGAAATGGAATTATATATAAATCGGGACAAAAGGTTAATAGCTTGATAATGGACACGACGAGGGATCGGTATTTTCAATATTTTGACCATTTCAAGGTATTTTTCAATAGTTTTCCATTTCTGAAAAAAATATCAGCAGTGCAACATTGTTCTAGTATTTCTTTGAGCCGGAAAATTAGTTTTGCATTTTTTTCAATAGTCTATAATATTGATATAAATGTAACAATTTTCTCAATTGAACCGTTACAATGACGTCCTAATAACGATAAAATTAAAGATCAATTAAATGTTTCAAGATTTTAAAAATTCTAGTGATTAATTCGTTACATGATATCTCAATTCTAGCCAGTATGGTAACAGATTGCTAAAAATAAAATCGTGAATTAATATTTCATTGTTTACTCAATAATGCAAAGAAGTAAATTTAAATCAGAAATATTCTTAGTTTACTATTACATCAAATAAAAGAGATTAAATTGATTTATCACGCTTTGTCCCTATGTTTTCTTGGCAAGTGGCGCTGAAGCCATATCTCTAATCTCTTTTGGTAATTGAAATAATTCTTTTGTTTGAACCAACTTTGCACATAATTGTGACAAGATTCGTGTGACAAGAAGGAAATTAATCCTTAAATTAATCCACTTTTTTGTTGCAAACATAACAAACTTCCATTCTGAATAATTTTTAAAAAATTCGAAAATATTTCTGATTTCAATGTTTTGTTTTTACTGCTCTCCGGCCGTAATTGATTTGTTGCAAAAAAAACAAATTTCCGAAAATAAATTGCTACGAATAAAAGTCTGTACAAAATTATATCCGAGTAAATGATATGGATGTAAGAAATTAAAACTACGATTCGATTTTTGGAAGCGAAAAAATACTTACTTTTTTCCTTTTAATTCAAACTATGGCTAGTATAATTTTTAGATTTCGCACTTTTTAGTGGTGGCCAAGATTTAAAAAAATGATTTTTAAATTCAAAAAGGGTTCTAGAAAGTTGAACCAACGCTAATTCTTCTAACAAATTTCCAACTGCGAAATAATCATAACTTGCATTTTTTACGTTTAGCTTTTATATGAAATAATTTTTGCGATATTTTTTTTCTCTAAAATAATTTTAAGGTAACACATTTTTCTGAAACTCTTTCTCTGGTGACTGATGGGCAAAATAAAGTTTTTACTAAACAAGCACTTATTTACATTTTTTCTAAGTTGAAACTACTTAGTTTTTCCAAAATTTTTAGAAAAATTTTTTAAGCGAAATATTGATTAAAATTTATTCTTCATTTATTGTTTCAGTTTTTGAATTTTTTATCTAAATTTGTATGTTATACTCTCATACTTGTTTTTTTGTTTTCTTCTGAAAGCTTCTACTTGTTATCAATTATTCTTGTTGTTTCGAGCCGAATTGTTGAAATTTTTTAAATAATCTTTTTTAGAATCCATTATTTTTACCAAAAAAGTAATTTTAGTAACGACGAATTGTTTTTTCAAAAACATTTC